TTACCCCCTTGTACTCTCAATTGCATCGATTTGCCCCCTTGTACTTTGGTTCGATATCACTTTACCCCCTTATACGTACTCTCAATTCATCGATTTGCCCCCTTGTACAATCTTGACTAAGCTATAAATAAAGGTTTGAACTCATTCCTTAAGGTACGTCCCATTAACTGAGCAATACTACAATATGTATTCTTTGGACCATTTATACTATCCGCACGTCTGACTTGAGCGTCGGAGGGTTTTCCGCCGGATCAACCCCCGGCCTAGTTCACGTGTTTTGTGATCGCAAGTATCTCAAGGTCATCAAACTCGTGAGCCAGTGATCCACTCTGCTCTCCCAGCTCATCCTACATAAACTATCTAAGGTGATCTATCTCTAGGATCATCATCATATATATATATATATATATATATATATATATATATATATATATATATATATATATATATATATATATATATATATATATACACATATTATATGTATGTGAGAGTGTAAGAAAACGATCGAGAGATTGAGTTAGCGAAAGAGCGAGATAAAAAAAGATCAAGAGATAGATAGAGAAATATATTTAGATACACACACACACACACACACACACACACACACACACACACACACACACTCACAAAAAGAGCCATGTGAAGCCGAAGGAAATTTTGCATCATCTGAGGCAGATGAATCCGGATACGGCTGCGTCCTTGAGAGAAGTGTACAATGAATCACAGAAAATTAGACGAGAGGAAATGAAAGGAAAAACAGTTATACAACATCTGTGGCACGAACTAAGTGAGAGTGGATACAGCAAATGGCATCGAACAAATCCAGCTGGTGATACAGTGCAAGACGTTATGTTTGCGCACCCTGATTCAATAAAGCTTTTGCAGTTATTTCCATACGTCATCCTGATGGATTGCACGTACAAGACTAACAGGTAATAATTATTTAAATGTGTATTACATTTATTATATATATATATATATATATATATATATATATATATATATATATATATATATATATATATGTAAGAGTTGACTAAATTATAATTACCTTCATGTAGATATGAAATGCCTCTTTTGGAGATCATTGGGGTTACTCCCGTGGGAAGGAACTTCACTATTGCCGTTGCTTTTATGTCACGTGAAGATGGGGACACTTATGCATGGACATTGCGATGTTTGCGAGACATATTACCAATCGGGATAGAACCAGAAGTGATACTGACAGATCGTGAGCTGGGCCTACTGAAAGCATTGCCAAACGTGTTTCCACATTCGCATCACATGTTATGTTTATATCACATAAACAGAAACGTTGAGGCAAACGCGTCAAAATTCTTGGGTAACACCAAGTTGGGTATACTGTTCCGGAGGACGGTGTGGGCAAAATTAGTCGAATCTGAGACTGAGGAAGAATACGAATGCAACTATAGCGAGATAGTTAGTTTGTACGGGCAATATCAGAAGCTGATAACTTACATCAATGAAACGTGGTTGATTTATAAGGAGAGATTTGTTAAGTGTTGGACCAACAACATCGTTCATTTCGGTAACACGACGACTAACAGGTATATAAATTGATTTTACTATAAACTCGTTACGTACAATCTTTTATACACATGTTACATTTATTCATTATTTGAGTGTTTTCTCGAAACAGAGTAGAGAGTGCACATCGTGCATCGAAGCGTTGGATCCAAACATCGACTGAAGCGTTGGATCCAAACCTCGCAATCATCGTGTTATCCTGCGGGCCGCGGTAGTCCTCCAGTGCTCTGGTCCTCGACTCGCACCGTGTAGTTTCACGGCGCTCCTGAAAAATATTGCATGTATTGTTACCTAAAAAAAATGAATAATATAAGAATTATGTAAAGCACGTGTTGACAGAAAAACTTACATATCCTTCCCAAATGTACATCGCTATATGCGACTTGAACCATCGCATAAACTCTAAATTTTGCGGCCCTCCCTCGCACGGACCCTCCAAGTACGCAGGACCAGGCAGCTGCGGAAAGGGTAAGGCACGACCACCTCTACGATCCTGAAATGCATCTGCTGGCCGATCATCTTCCTCCATCTCCTCGTCAGTATCCATATTATCGTCGTCGGCATGTGGCAATGTACAGGGTCCGGCTCCAGCTGCAACAGCTTCTCGTCTCAGTCTCTCTTCTTCCCGCTGTAACGCTGCTTCTCGAGCTAACTGCTTTCTTCTACGCGCGGAAGCAAGGACATCTCGGTCTCCAATGCGATCCGGATCTTCCGGATTGTCCCCCTTCCCACTCAAGGCTTTCATTAAGCTCTTGCCTTTACCGGCAACTTGACTCATAAGACTTTTCCCCCGACCTCCTGCCATCTACATTTTAAATAAGCACTTTATTAATATTTCATATAATAAAAAAAAAAAGAATTTAAATAATGAAAAAAAAAAAAAAATTTTAATTACTCGTGTGAATTTACACGAGCGGAACCACTTCGCTCGTGTAAATTCACACGAGTAAAAATCAAACTCCCATTTTTTTACGAAATAAATTAAAAAAAAAAAAAAAAAAAAAAAAAAAAATTTAATTACTCGTGTGAATTTACACGAGCGGAACCACTTCGCTCGTGTAAATTCACACGAGTAAAAATCAAACTCCCATTTTTTTACGAAATAAATTAAAAAAAAAAAAAAAAAAAAAAAAAAAAAAATTTAATTACTCGTGTGAATTTACACGAGCGGAACCACTTCGCTCGTGTAATTCACACGAGTGAAATCAAACTGAGCG